TAATGACCCAACCGGTCATTTTAACTTTTAGAAACCCGTTCCCTAAAATAAAACTTCCCAAACATGCTTTTATTAATTTATGACTCGCGGGGATGGTTGGTCCGGGATTTAGAAGTGTTTGGGTTGAAATCGGAACACTTGGTTCCTTAAGTTGGTTTTAAATGGCCAAGTTTGACTTCGGTCAACATTTTGAGGAAACGACCCCGGAATCAGGATTTGACGGTTCCAATAGGTTTGTATGATGATTTTGGACTTGGGCGTATGTCCGAATCGGATTTTGGATAACCCGGGAGCGTTTTGACGCTTAATAGTAAAAATCAACTATTTCAAGGTTTAAAATTCTTTAATTTTTGTTTCGAGTAGATTTTTGAGTAATTGAAGTCCGTTTGGAATTCCGAGTTTGGGAATAGTTCCGTATAGTGATTTAAGACTTGCACGCAAAATTTCGTGTCATTCCGAGTAGTTTAAGTGTATTTCGGCGAATTGAAAGTAAATTGAACAACTTGAAATTCTTAAGTTTGAATCAATTTGGTTTAGGGTATGATTCTTAGATTTGATGTTGTTTTACGCATTCCGAGAGTTCGAGCGAGTCCGTTTTATGATTTCAAACCTGTTGGTATGTTCGGGTGGGGCTCCGGGGGTTCCGAGTGTTAACCGGACGAGGCTCGGACCAATTTTGGGAAATTGAGCAAGGACTGAAGATCCCAATTACTGTCATAATCACACCTGTGTTTGGACAGCCGCAGGTGCGAATGAGAGGAGCCTACCCAGCCATCACAGATGCGAAGCATTTGGCGCACCTGCGAACGCGTAAGTGCGAAGACCCTGTGCACAGAAGCGGAGGAATGCGCAGGTGCGAAGGAATGGGCGCACCTGCGCTTGCGCAGAAGCGAGCAGCTCGTCCGCAGGTGCGGAGCCAGTCCAAGAGGAAAAATCTCGCACCTGCGAGGCTTTTTCGCAGGTGCGAAGGCCGCAGGTACGAATACCTTCCGCAGGTGCGAAATATCTGTCAGGGCAGAACCTTTAAATGGACGAAGCTGAGTCCATTTTTGTTCATTTTTCCTCCATGTTTGCGCGATTTCAGAGCTCTTTGTGAAAAGTTTTCAACTAATAACTTGGAGATAAGTTAATTCTACACCCTTTGAGTTAAATACATAGATTATGGGTAGATTATAACTAGTAAATCTTAGAAATCAAGGGTTTAGGTGAAAACCTAGATTTTTATAAAAATGAGATTTTAACCACGAAAATAGTTATGGAATTGGATAGAAATTATATATTTGAGTTCTTGAGATTATGGGTAACGTTTTCATCCTAAAATTTTCGAAATCGGGGCACGTGGGCCCGGGATGAATTTTAGGAATTTTACCATTTTGGATATGATAATTTAGTTAATAGATGAATTTCGAATTATTGAGCATATATTAATTATTTTGTATAATATTTGGATAGTTTCGGATTTTTTGGTGTCGAATCGAGAATTTTATGCGATGCAGTAATCGAAAAGTGGACTTTGAGACAAGGTAAGTCTCTTGTCTAATCTTGTGAGGGAGAAATTACCCCATTGGGATTAAATTAATCAATTGTTGCTAATTGCGGGGGCTACGTACGCACGAGGTGACGAGAGTCCTTGCGTAGCTACTATTAATGCTAAAGTCCGGGTAGTTTAGGACTCAAAGCATGAATTACTTGTGTAAATTGTATTCTTTATTAATTAAATTATTTGATGTATAAACTGTGAATTATTATGAAAGCTAGTAAAAGATAAAATTTTCTTATGCTTAAATTAATTCTTTTATCCTCTCGAATAAATCTTGCAATAAATACTCTCTTTCCGTAGGTACATAAGAAAATGTCCTCCTTTTCTTGTGGATCGGGCCGAACGCCTCGGCAGGATAGATGCATCTATGGATCGTGCCGCACGTCCCTCGGCAGTATACACGACACTCTGGATCGGGTCGTATGTCCTCGGCAGAAATCGTGCTTAATAATAATAATAATAAATACACGATACTTTGATAGTGTGTTTCAGCTTGTGAAGTTAATTGATAAATTAAAAATTATTGGACTTGAAGGAATTTAATTAATACATTAAAAATTTATTGCATTTGGAAGAATTTAATTATTTTTGCTAATTTAGGAAAATTATTGTTAATTCTGTGAGACATGCTGAATTAAATAAATTCTATTTCATCCTATTTATTATTTTGGACCCTTAGTAAGTGTCAAAGTCGACAATCTCGTCTCTACCACTTTGAGATTAGGCTTGATTTTTACTGGGTACACGTTGTTTACATACTCATACTACACTTGCTGCACTTTTTGTGCAAGATCTGAGATAGGTACTTGTGGAGGACCTATCATCGCACATCCTCGTTATCCGGAGGCATAGTGGTGAGCTGCCTTTCTGACCCGTTCTGCAGCTACCAGTGACTCTCCCTGTATTTTTTATTCTGTCTATTTTCATTCAGACAGTATTTTGGAGTTTTGTATAATCTACTAGATGCTCATACGCTTGTGAGACCAGATCTTAGCACACACATTGGTAGAATTTGATGTTTTATTATTTTTCTTGGATCTAAAAGTTTAGTCAATATATGTTAAATTTATTAGTTGGCTTGCCTAGCTGTAGTGCTGGGCGCCATCGCGATCTTTAGGTGAAATTGGTTCGTGACAACATGGTATTAGAGCACTAGGTTCACGTAGGGCTCACAAGTTATGAGCATGCCTAATAGAGTTTTGCGGATCGGTACGGAGACGTCTGTAATTATCTTCGAGAGGCTATAGGGTTTTAGGAAACTACCTTTCTTCATATTTCATCGTGCAATTAATGTAGTACTAAATATCATTCTCTTATTCTCTCACATATGGTGAGAATGCGCACAAATGAGGTTCCAGACCAGGGAAGAGCTACTTCCCCAGTTGCTAGAGGCCAAGGCAGAGGCAAAGGGAGGGCTCCAGCCCGGGGTAGAGGGCGAGGACGTCCCAGGACTATTCCAGTTATGTCGCCAGTGGGTCTAGCAGAGAATCCCATTATTGAGGAACAGGGTGAAGTGCCTATGGCAGAGCCAGCTCTGGTGGATTTCACATCTGCACCAGGATTTCAGGATGTCATGGGTCGTATGCTACGATTCATGGACAATATGACTCAGGCCGGTTTATTTCCGGCAGACCCAGCCACATTCCAGGCGTGCGGGGGAGCACAGACCCCTACCGTGCAGGCTCATGGACAGGCAGTTGCTGTATATCAGACCCAGGGTGCACTACCCATGGGTGGAGCCCAGCCAGTGGCAGCAGCTATAACTGAGCCCAAGCCAGCTGCAGCCGCTGACCCACAGAAACTATTGGATCGATGGACTAGATTACATTCTCCTGTCTCTGGGGGTGAGCGACATGAGGATCAACAGGACTTTATTGCAGGGACAGACTGCATAACATGAGGATATTGGAATCTCATGGGGTTGACTTCGCTACTTTTTAGCTAGAGGGCAGGGCCCGTAGATGGTGGCAGTCTTATGTTCTTAGCATACCAGCAGATTCTCCTCCCATGACTTGGGACAAGTTTACCCGTATCTTCTGGACAGGTATATTCCACCCTCCCAGAGGGAAGAGTTGCGGTTTCAGTTTGAGCAGCTCCAGCAAGGTCAGATGTCAGTGATCGATTATGAGGCGAGGTTCTCTGAATTATCTCGCCATGCACTTATGATACTCCCTACTGAGGCGGAGAGAGTGCGGAGGTTTGTAGCTGGTTTACATACTGGCATTCAGGCCACTATGGCTCGAGAGGTTGAGATGGGTACCTCTTATGAGCTAGTTGTGGAGATAGCCCAGAGGATTGAGGGTGTGCGTCAGCGGAGCCGAGAGTAGATTATGAGAGATAAGCGGTTCAGGTACTCTGGAGAGTTCAGAGGTGTTCCGTCTGGGGGCAGAGGTCAGTTCGTTAGGGGGTAGTCTAGCAGGCCCCCATATCCAGCACCACCACCTCCTCGAGGTGCTCCAGTGCGACCTTATCTCAGTGCTATACTAGAGAGTTCTTACCACCTACCAGCTATTCAGAGTTCTTCCAGTGGGTATTCAGGTCCCCAGGGCCAGACTCTTAGTCAGCAGCCCATCGCACCGAAGAGTTGTTACGAGTGCGGGGATCCCAGTCACATGCGGAGATTTTTACCCCAGGCTTCGGGGTAGACCAGTACAGCAGGGTCAGCAGCCTATGCTTACCGGACCAGTTGCTCCACCAGTAGTCTGAACACCAAGAGGTGGAGGACAGGTGGGTAGGGGCTGTCCTAGAGGTGGAGGTCAGCCAGGCGGAGGCCAGCCAGTTGGCGCTCCAACTCGGTTCTATGCCTTTCCGAATAGACCAGATGTAGAGGCCTCAGATGCTGTGATTACAGGTATTATTTCTGTTTGCGGCAAGGATTCCTCAGTATTATTTGATCTAGGATCCACGCATTCATATGTGTCATCTCTATTTGCTCCATTCCTGGGTGTTTCTCGTGAGTCCTTGAGTACTCCTGTTTATGTGTCCACTCCTGTAGGCAATTCTGTTATTGTGAACCGAATCTACCGGTCTTGTATTATTACATTATGTGGTTATGAAACTAGAGCAGATCTTTTATTGCTTGAGATGACCGATTTTGAAATTAATCTGGGTATGGACTGATTATCTCCATATCATGCTATTCTAGATTGTCATGCCAAAACTATTACCTTGGCTATTCCATCTTTGCCTAGGCTGGAGTGGAAGGGTTCGTCGGTTAGTTCAATTAATTGGGTTATTTCTTTTATAAAGGCTCAACATATGGTTTAGAAGGGTTGTTTAACTTATCTAGCTTATGTTCGGGATACTACTGTAGAGACTCCGACTATTGATTCAGTGCTTATAGTTCGGGAGTTCTCCGATGTATTTCCTTCAGATCTTCCAGGTATGCCACCTGATCATGATATTGATTTCTGTATTGACTTGGATCCAGATACTCAGCCTATATCTATTCTACCGTATCGCATGGCTCTGAAAGAATTGAAAGAGTTGAAAGAACAGCTTGAAGAGTTACTAGCAAAAAGGTTCGACAGATCGAGTGTATCGCCTTGGGGTGCACCGGTATTATTTGTAAAGAAGAAGGATGGCACAATGCGAATGTGTATTGATTATCGCCAATTGAACAAAGTTACTATTAAGAACAAGTACCTTTTGCCGCGTATTGATGACCTATTTGACCAGTTGTAGGGTGCTAGGGTGTTATCTAAGATCGACTTGAGGTCGGGGTATCATCAGTTGAAGATTCGAGATTCGGATGTTCCAAAAACTGCTTTCCGTACTAGATATGGTCATTATGAGTTTCTGGTAATGTCTTTCGGTTTAACTAATGCCCCGACAGCATTTATGGATTTGATGAACAGGGTATTCAGGCCATATATTGATTCATTTGTTATTGTCTTCATTGCTGACATTTTGATCTACCCGCGCAGTAAGGAGGACCACGAGCAGCATATGAGAGTAATGCTTCAGACATTGCGGGAACAAAAGCTATATGCTAAGTTCTCCAAATATGAGTTCTGGCTGGAGTCTGTAGTATTTTTGGGGCATATTGTATCGGGTGAGGCTATTAAGGTTGATCCCAAAAAGATTGAGGCAGTTCAAAATTGGCATTGTTCCACTTCGGCAACTGAGATCAGGAGTTTTTTGGGTTTAGCAGGTTATTATCGTCGATTCGTGGAAGATTTTTCATCTATTGCAGTGCCTTTGACCAAATTAACCCAGAAGGGTGCTCCGTTCTGGTGGTCCGATGATTGTGAGGTGAGCTTTCAGAAGCTCAGGACAGCATTGATTACATCACCAGTGTTAGTATTGCCTTCCGGTTCGGGGATGTATACAATGTATTGTGACGCTTCACATGTTGGTTTGGGTTGTGTATTAATGCAGGAAAAGCGAGTTATTATATATGCTTCACGTCAGCTGAAGCCCCACGAGAAGAATTATCCAGTACATGATTTGGAGTTAGCTGCAATTGTTCACGCTCTTAAGATTTGGAGGCATTATCTTTATGGGGTGTCCTGTGAAGTTTATACTGATCATCACAGTTTGCAGCATTTGTTCAAGCAGAGGGACCTAAATTTGAGACAGCGCAGATGGCTCGAATTACTGAAATATTATGATATTACTCTCCTATATCATCTGGGTAAAGCAAATGTGGTTGCAGATGCCTTGAGTAGAAAGGCGAAGAGTATGGGTAGTTTGGCTTTCATTTCAGTAGAAGAGAGGCCATTAGCTTTGGATATCCAGTCCTTATCCAACAGACTTGTGCGGCTGGATATTTCATAGCCCAGCCGAGTTCTTGCATGTGTCGTAGCTCAGTCTTCACTATTTGAGCAGATCAAGGCTTGCCAGTATGATGATCCACACTTAATGGTTCTTCGAGAAACGGTACTACGAGGTGGTGCCAAGGAAGTTACTATTGGTGCGGATGGTGTTCTACGACTCTAGGATCGTCTATGTGTTCCTAATGTGGATGAACTGAGGAAAAAGATCCTGGAGGAGGCACACAGTTCTCGGTATTCTATTCATCCAAGTACTACGAAGATGTATCGTGACTTGAGGCAGCATTATTGGTGGCGACGAATGAAAAAGGAAATAGTTGAGTATGTAGCTAGGTGTCTAAATTGCCAGCAAGTTAAATATGAGCACCAGAGGCCAGGTGGCCTACTTCAGCAGATGACTATCCCGTAGTAGAAATGGGAACAAATTACTATGGACTTTGTAGTTGGGTTGCCGCAGACCTTGAGGAAGTTTGATGCAGTTTGAGTGATTGTTGATAGATTAACCAAGTCGTCACATTTTATTCCTGTTGTGACTACGTATACTTCATAGAGGTTGGCCCAGATTTATATTCAGGAGATAGTTCGGTTGCACGGTGTGCCAATTTCTATCATATCAGATAGAGGCCCTCAGTTTACTTCACATTTCTGGAGAGTAGTACAAAGTGAATTAGGGACCCGTGTAAAGCTCAGCACAGCCTTTCATCCTCAGACCGACGGGCAGTCAGAGCGGACAGTTTAGATTTTGGAGGATATGCTCAAGGCATGTGTGATTGACTTTGGAGGTCAGTAGGATCGTTTCCTGCCTTTGGCCAAGTTTGCTTATAATAACAGTTACCAATCCAGCATCGAGATGGCTCCATTTGAGGCTTTATATGGTCGTCGATGCCGTTCGCCTATCGGATGGTTTGAGCCCGGCGAGACTAAGTTATATGGTACTGATTTGGTGAAGGATGCCTTGAAAAAGGTAAAGTTGATTCAGGAGCGACTTCGTATAGCACAGTCCAGACATAAGAGTTATGCGGATCAGAAAGCGCGTGATTTATCATTTATGGTAGGTGAAAAAGTTCTCTTGAAGGTTTCGCCGATGAAGGGAATTATGAGATTCGGGAAGAAGGGCAAGTTGAGCCCAAGGTTTATAGGCCCATTTGAGGTGTTGAGACGAGTTGGGGAGGTTGCTTATGAGCTTGCATTGCCTCCCAGTCTATCGGGAGTTCATCCGGTTTTTCATGTATCTATGCTCCGGAAGTATCATGCTGACCTGTCACATGTGTTGGACTTCAGCACAGTTCAGCTAGATAAGAGTTTGGGTTATGAAGAAGAGCCATTTGCCATTGTTGATAAACAGGTTCGCCAGTTAAGGTCCAAGAGGATTTCTGTAGTAAAGGTCCAGTGGAGGGGCCAACCAGTCGAGGAAGCGACTTGGGATGCCGAGGAGGACATGCGGAGCAAATATCCACACTTATTTAGCACTCCAGGTATTATTCTAAACCCGTTCGAGGACGAATGTTTGTTTAAAAGGTGGAGAATGTAATGACCCAACCGGTCATTTTAACTTTTAGAAACCCGTTCCCTAAAATAAAACTCCCCGGACATGTTTTTATTAATTTACGACCCGCGGGGATGGTTGGTTCGGATTTGGAAGTGTTTGGGTTGAAATCAAAACACTTGGTTCCTTAAGTTGGCTTTAAATGGTCAAGTTTGACTTCGGTCAACATTTTGAGGAAACGACTCCGGAATCAGGATTTGACGGTTCCAATAGGTTCGTATGATGATTTTAGACTTGGGCGTATGTCCGAATCAGGTTTTGGATAACCCGGGAGCATTTTGACGCTTAATAGTAAAAATTAACTATTTGAAGGTTTAAAATTCTTTAAATTTGGTTTGGAGTAGGTTTTTGAGTAATTGAAGCCCGTTTGGAATTTCGAGTTTGGGAATAGTTCTGTATAGTGATTTAAGACTTGCACACAAAATATCGTGTCATTCCGAGTAGTTTAAGTATATTTCGGCGCATTAGAAGTAAATTGAACAACTTGAAATTCTTAAGTTTGAATCAATTTGGTTTAGGGTATGATTTTAGATTTGACAGTTTTACGCATTCCGAGAGTTCGAGCGAGTCCGTTTTATGATTTCAAACCTATTGGTTTGTTCGGGCAGGGCCCCGGGGATCCCGAGTGTTAATCGGATGAGGCTCAGACCAATTTTGGGAAATTGAGCAAGGAATGAAGCTCCAAACTACTGTCATAATCGCACCTGCGCTTGGACAGCCGCAGGTGCGAGCCACCAATCGCAGGTGCGAACGAGAGGAGCCTGCCCAGCCATCGCATATGCAAAGTATTTGGCGCACCTGCGAACGCGCAGGTCCGAAGGCCCTGTGCGCAGAAGCGGAGGAATGCGCAGGTGCGAAGGAATGGGCGCACCTGTGCTTGCGCAGAAGCGAGCAACTCGTCCGCAAGTGCGGAGCCAGTCCAAGAGGAAAAATCTCGCACCTGCGAGGCTTTTCCGCAGGTGCAAAGGCCGCAGGTGCGAAAAATCTACATGGACAAAACCTTAAAATGGACGAAGCTCAGTCCATTTTTGTTCATTTTTCCTCCATGTTTGCACGATTTCAGAGCTCTTTGTGAGGCGTTTTCAACTAACAACTTGGAGTTAAGTTAATTCTACATCCTTTGAGTTAAATACATAGATTATGGGTAGATTATAACTAGTAAATCTTAGAAATTAAGGGTTTAGGTGAAAAACCTAGATTTTTATGAAAATGAGATTTTAACCATGAAAATGGTTATGGAATTGGATAGAAATTATATATTTGAGTTCTTGAGATTATGGGTAACGTTTCCATTTGAAAAATTTCGAAATCCGGGCACGTGGGCCCGAGGTAAATTTTAGAAATTTTACCATTTTGGATAGGATAATTTAGTTAATAGATGAATTTCGAATTATTGAGTATATATTAATTATTTTGTATAATATTTGGATAGTTTTAGATTTTTCGGCGTCGATCGAGAATTTTACGCGACGCAGTAATCGAAAAGTGGACTTTAAGACAAGGTAAGTCTCTTGTCTAATCTTGTGAGGGGGAAATTACCCATATGGATTAGATTAATTAATTGTTGCTAATTGCGGGGGCTACGTACGCACGAGGTGACGAGAGTTCGTGCGTAACTATTATTAATGCTAAAGTTCGGGTAGTTTAGGACTCAAAGCATGAATTACTTGTGTAAATTGTATTCTTTATTAATTAAATTATTTGATGTATACATTGTGAATTGTTATAAAAGGTAATAAAAGATGAAATTTTCATATGCTTAAATTTTTGTTTAAATTAATTCATTGTTGAAATAAATTGTTTATCCTCTCGAATAAACTTGCAATAAATACTCTCATTCCGCAGGTACATAAGAAAATATCATCCTTTCTTGTGGATCGGGCCGAATGGCTCGGCAGGATAGATGCATTTATGGATCGTGTCGTACGTCTCTCGGCAGCGTACACGACACTATCGATCGGGCCGTACGTCCTCGGCAGAAATCATGCTTAATAATAATAATAAATACACGATACTTTGATAGTGTGTTACAACTTGCGAAGTTAATTGATAAATTGAAAATTATTTGACTTGAAGGAATTTAATTAATACATTAAAAATTTATTGCATTTGGAAGAATTTAATTATTTATGCTAATTTAGGAAAATTATTGTTAATTCTGTGAGACATGCTGAATTAAATAAATTCTATTTCATCCTATTTATTACTTTGGACCCTTAGTAAGTGTCAAAGTCGACTATCTCGTCTCAACTACTTTGAGATTAGGCTTGATACTTACTGGGTACACGTTGTTTACGTACTCTTACTACACTTGCTGCACTTTTTGTGCAAGATGTGAGACAAGTACTTGTGGAGGACCTATCATCGCACATCCTCGTTATCCGGAGGCATAGTGGTGAGCTGCCTTTCTGACCCGTTCTGCAGCTACCAGTGACTCTCCCTTTATTTTTCATTCTGTCTATTTTCATTCAGACAGTATTTTGGAGTTTTGTATAATCTACTATATATTTGTACGCTTGTGATACCAGGTCTTGGCACTCACATTGGTAGAATTTGATATTTTATTATTTTTTTTGGATTTAAAAGTTTAGTCAATATATGTTAAATTTATTAGTTAGCTTGCCTAGATGTAGTGTTGGGCGTCATCACGACCTTTAGGTGAAATTGGGTCGTGACAAAGATTCCCCTACACTTTGACATGGGCTGCCGTCAATCAACAGTTATATGCATTTTGATGCAGGTACACTCTGTCACTTCTTATTTGGTGTTCTTTCTTGCAGGTGCCTATGTATGTCTTTCCTCAATTCTTGGGTTCTACACTTGCATGTCTCACCTTGAGTGTGTTATTTAATCACCAAGGTGACATACTACCAACACTTACTCAGTACAAAAATCCAGTCACTGATTTTGAAGCCATCACTTGGGAATTCATAATGACTCTCATTTTAATGTTTGTGATCTGTGGAGCTGCTACTGACGATAGAGCGGTATGCCTTCACTAAGGACTATCTTCTTTAGAAGTTTCAGTGTAGAATTTCATTTAAGCATCTAAAATTGTTTGTTTGATCAATTTGAAAATCTCTAGCTTTAGTTCCTATTGTCTACTCAACTAGGAAGTCCTCCTAATCAGTCTACTATCTTCAACTGCAGAGCAAAGAGCAAGCTGGAGTTGCAATTGGAGTTACACTATTGTTTGAAGTCCTCATTGCAGGGTAAAATCACACCTCAAGATGCAGTCTTGATATTTCTCCAAATCTAGAGAGTATAACATATTTTATAGATCAGTTTGTCGCTGACCTTCATATTTGCAGGCCAATAACTGGAGCTTCAATGAATCCAGCAAGAAGTTTAGGCCCTGCAATAGTCTCAGGTGTCTATAAGAACCAATGGGTCTTTGTTATTGCACCAATTCTCGGGGCCATGACAGCAACTGGGATATATAGCCTTCTCCGGCAACCAAAGTAGGAAATGCTCATGAGCAAAGCACTACAGTTTGAAGCATAAGATGAATGCCTACGAGCGGTGAGATTATGCAACACATAAAAGTACTGGTGAAATCACATGAATGCCTGTGATTTGTCCTGCTATAGGAAAACGAAGAAAGATTGCAACTTTGTCAGTCTATAGTTTGTTAAAACCTATTGCGTTAACTATTTGAAGATTTCCGTGTACGTCTGATGCCTTTCGAAAGGAATTATATCCAAGTAATCCTAAAAGTGAATTTACCAGTATCTGGGAACATCTCGCTCAAGATCACTAGCTTTGAAGTGCCACTAATTTTCCCAGGCAGTACTGCACCAAGCTAAAATGTTAAAGATGAGTTGATAGCCTCTTTTCTTTGCTTTTTTTCAAATCCAACTTCCCAAGCAACGGATATGAAGTGCAGCTAATTATTATCTACATTCTTCAAACAGTGTATAAACCTACTACAACAACAACATACCCAATGTAATCCCATATAGTGGGGTTTGAGCAGGATAGTGTATACACAGAACTTACCCCTACCTTGTGGAGATAGAGAGGTTGTTTCTAATAGATCTCCTGCTCAAGGAAAGCAGTGTATAAACCTATTGTACCCACAAATGTCTTTCGAAACATTGGTGATAGTTTAGTTAAATGTCATTGTTAAAGAAAATTTAGGCTTGGAAAGAGAACAAAAAGGCATATAAATGCTAGCTTCTAGAGGACTTCAACCCCTTTTGACACTTATTGGGACTTATCAGAACATCTATATTATGCAGCGGAGACACATAGTACAAACGGGGTAAGGGGTAGGGAAAGAGAATCCACACGTATCACTTCATCCAGTTAGAGATTATAGACACACATTTACAGCTGATCATGTCAAACTATGAGAGAAAACAGCAGGTACAGATTGATCCCATACTAACTGTGCTGATTGATAATCGAAATGGCCATATTAGCCACCTTCTAGCTATCATTATACCGCAAATATGATCACCTATTAGCAAAGTATATAAATGACAATTTAAGAAAGTTCCATGATACTAAATCATAACAATTAATGCATCTTCTCAACCTAAGGTCTGCCAAAGAAGGCCAGACCATCATATCTGTATATAGATATGGCTGCAGAAAGATGATAAAATACCAATCTGAATCATATCTCTATAATTTGCTTACCAATCTGTATAATTAACTGGTGAGACTGCCGATGCCTTTTTGCAAGATGAACTGGCCCCGATACCATTCTCATCACCAGCTAATTGATCCGAGTACGTAGCTTGTACTTAAACATACAGGAAATACATCTCCATCCCTTTCTCTCATACTACTGCTTGAAGATTCTGCTGTTGAATCTTCACTGTTCCTCCAATCCTCTTACTTATCACAAAACTAAAATGTGGTGGAGTTGTGTTGCTTTGAAATGTTTGCATAATGCCTCGGGTAAAGTGTAAGTCTCTCATTGGTTCATCAGTTATACATCAACATTATTGGAACTTCTGCTCTACTCTCCACAACTGAATTTCTGATATCTACAGAGCTTTCTTCATCTTCAGTTCTAAAAAAAGAAGATGACATGCTAGGGACTATCTGATCTTCATAACGTCGAATAGCATTTCTTGTAGTATTGTTCCTGGCTGTTTCAGGAACCATTTCCATCTGCATGGTCTGAGGAAATGCTATAGGGACAAAATCAGTAGAGTCTCCATGTCCTTCCTCCATTCCATTCTCAATAGCAGCTCGTGAAGCTGCTTCACGCTGCCACATTTGTGACAAGGCATCTTCTAGTCTTTCTTTTGCTGCATCGATTTCAACAATCGGAAGAGGATAATTGGAACCAAGCTCAATGCCAGCAGCTTGAAGTACAGGTTCTGGTGCATCCCAAGGGTGGTGTATCCATTCAGTGGGCAGTCTAGCAAGTTCAGGAAGCCACCGCCGAACATATTCTCCTTTAGGATCAAACTTGTATCCCTCAAACTGCAGTAAAGACAATAAACAATGAAAGTGTACAGTCAATTTTTCAAAGTGTAAAACCAGCCTTAGAGCACTTAGAATTATCCATGATAGGACGAAAGCTTTAATATGTAAGTAAGTACTTCTCCAAGTTGCTCGGACTCGGGTGCGGGATCCTTTATAATCTAAATATTAAGATCCAAGGGTAAGGATAGGTACGGACACGGGTGTAAGGATTCGACTAAAAATAATTCAATTATCCGAAAATAAGCATAAAAATATGTCTAAATTATGAGACATTATGTAAAAATCTTACAACGTATTCCGAGAAGGAGAAAATATTGATCAAGAGGAGAACCCGAGAAGGAGATAAAAGGAAAAGTATAGACATAGAAATTTCAATATATAAGGTATTCCATTTTCTTCAATTTCACCCTAGCTTTTGATTTAATTTCAGAAATCATTGTATTTGTCCTGAATTTCTCCATTGAATTTAGTCAAAGCACCCAAATTGGTTGACCATATCCGGTCGGTACGGATCCCACACCCATGTCGTATCGACACGGATGCAGCACCGAAAGTGAAGATTCCGAGCAACTTAGGTAATTCTTCTATATAGAAAGTGAAAAAGAGAGAGTTTCATTTTTTGCAAGTATCCAATTAACAGAAAACAACCTTCCCAAAAGATTACCAGGACATACCTGTGGATTATAGAATTGATCAAACTCACAACCATCAGGTAGGGTACCGGTAATATATTGCCAACCAAGAGAATCACTCTCAAGATCTGCATCTAACAAAGTGTCCCAAAAATACTTCATTCCCCATGTCCAAGGAAGCTGCAGAACCTTAACAGAAAAAGTAGACACAACAACTCGAATGCGATCATGTAGCCAGCCAGTCGCCCAAAGCTCTCTCATACCTGCATCAACCAAAGGATAACCTGTTCTACCTTGTCTCCATGCCTTAAAATAGCCCTCATCTACTAACCAAGGGAAGTACTTTAGGTGACCAAGCAGTGGTCTTTCATGACTGTAAGGATGATTAAAGCTCATGTATCTTGAGAACTCCCTAAGGCCAATGGACTTGAGGAACAAGTTGGTACTTTCTTCACCTTCTTTGTTTCCTTCATTGGCCCAGAGAACTTGCTTGATACGAATACGATGGAATACCTTACGAACACCGACTTCACCAAAATGTAAACGCGGTGACAGAAATGAGGTTGTTGCAGTATCAGCTTTCCTACGATTCTTGGAATACTCAATTAATGGTCCATTAATGAAAGTAGCCAGTGCCTTGTCACCATTGCTCCAACCAGGAGACCACGCTCGAGCAAGAAGTGCGTTGCTTCCTTTCTCTGATTCACTCTCAAACACCAAGTTGTCTGAAGGGCATCTTGATGTATCACCTGGAAGTTTTGCCACATACCATGTTAAGAGGATAACAGGTAAACCAGTAAATTTGATAATATCAATGAAATGAACAATAGAATAATTCCAGTAGGGGAAATGCATTAATACCTTTTAAGGGATTCTATCTGATTCTTAGCTAGATTAGTGGAACAAAATGGTACTCACAGGATGTTATGTTAAACTGAATGTGCATATAATAAGAACAAGAATAATATCTATAAGGCAAGAAAGCGAGCGCGCAGATGAGGACAAACCAGATATTATTCTTTTAGGTGGAAGAAGTGGAGCTTCAGGATCATAAGGCATGGTAAGGCATCTATCCCAAAAAGCTGAAAATGTTGTGAATGGGCGACCTTCATCATCGACAACTTCCCATGGTTCGTATAGCAGATCAGCATTGAAGGAGCTCACAGATACACCTTCAGCTGTTAACGCTTCCTTTGCACGATGATCTCTGACAAGTGATATCGGATCTAAAGCCAAAAAAATAGTGTACTAATTAGAATTATTCAATGAATTCAATGCTCATGAAAGATAATGCTTTGTTTATAATCCTATCTTCAGAAAAATGAGAAGCCATCAACTTCTGGTACAATAAATCGACATTCACAAGCATATGATCAAGTGTTTGAGGATACCCCTCTTTTGTTAAATAACAGATTATACAAAATGACATGATAAAGATATAGAATATAAAATAGCAATCCAGATGAGCAATATAAGATTCAGACAACCAGCATACGACCAACCAAAAACAGGGAGACAATAACTTATATTCTACTATCAGTTTTATATTTATAGAGGAAAATAACTATACATAAAATCCTTGAAGTAATGAGAAAGGACTTAACACCAATTTAACTACTTGATAAAGGACAATCCATTATTTTCCTTATAGAGGACATATTCTAGCAAGCAGACTCAATTAAGTAAAAGAACATATAGATTGACAAAATTCTTGGAAGTTTTGGAAACTGTTAGTCACATAGGATGGATACAAACAACAACAACAATAACAACTATCTTGAACTTCAAGCAAGTTGGGGTCAACTATATGACACGTCCCTTCATTCAAGCTCATCTCAATCCAATATTATATAAAACAAACATAAAAAGTACTAGAAATCACTGTGTTTACTACCGGTTTATAGATCTATAGAGCGTTCACAAAGTAAAGGCAAGAATGAACTGAAAAAAAGAATGTTCTATAAAAGGAAGAGAAGGACTAAAAACAAGGCAGCATAGTATATAAAGAATCCCTAAATGGAACAGAACTAACCATATAGATGATTGAAAAAGACCTGAGTTGCACCAGTAGATTTCACAACTTCAAGAAGAGAAGAAATACTATCAGTAGATCTTTTTGTAATTAGGGAAGTTCCAAGGCTCTTCAAAGAGGAATCAAGATGAGCTAAACTTTGTTTAATCCACCATCTTGATACCCTACCAGGACAATAATATCCTTCTTCTTCAGGAGCCCATATAAATACTGCAATCACTGCTCCTCCCCTCACTCCAGCAGCCAGTGCTGGGTTATCTTCTAACCTCAGATCCCTCCTAAACCATACTATGCTACAACCACCACTTGACATTCTCTCAAATATTTCAAAGTACTATCCACAATATGTCTCCTATCTAAAACACCATGTTATTGTATATTTCTTGGACAGCAGTGTATTAGGATTAATCTTATCCTTTGATGGCTACATGTAACTTTCACTAACGAAATATTTCTACGTGTTTGACAGAATTATAGACATAATATAATTAGGTAATTAGAAATGTAGTTTCTCTAATATATGAGATGAATGATTCAGACCAGCAAAAAATGAGTCCTTTTTCTGGGAGAAACTTATAAAGGAATCTATCTAACCCCACTAATGTAAAATCTGTACGTCACAGAACTTAATTCTCCCACATGGGTGAACCTGTCTGAATGAGTTAATCCACTAAATAGACACAACAGGCAACCAAAAACATCCTTCAGACCAGCAAAGGACGTGGGTGTAGCGAATGAGACTGCTCTTCCTTTAATCAAAAGTCTCGGGTTCGAGTCTTGGGTATAGAAAAATACTTATTAGGAAGCACTTTTCCCGAATAAGGCCCTACGCGGCGCGAATGCTGATATAGTCGGCTCCAATGCGGACACTAACAGAGAAACAATAAAAACATCCTTAAGCGAGAGTATTGAAAGTGATTGGTTAAGGTGGTGGAGTTGGAAGAAACTGGTGGACAAATTGCAGCCACAACTTTTTATTTTTTTCTTGATTTC